GGGAGGGTTCATATAATTGCATGGAGATTAACGAGAGCGAGCACTAGACTCTACGACATTGCGCGTGACAGGCAGGAAAGGAACAATAAAAATAAAAAGACAGAAACAAGAACGAAAAAGGTAAAACAACGACTGACTTGATATTTGAGGAACGATTCGTGCAACATCGTGGACGAAAATAAACAGATTTGTCATTGGCGAGAGACGAATAGGGAAGGAGCGGTGGAAACCGTGGAATTAGGAATTTTCAGAACATGAAATCCGGAATTGGAATTCCACACTGCTCTATTATCATAGAACCCTGCATGGGGCAGCACGGCCCGCCCGCACGATGCATGTCTGCATGTCGTCGTCGTCGGACCCCGCACGATGCATGTCTGCATGTCGTCGTCGTCGGACCCGCACGATGCATGTCTGCATGTCGTCGTCGTCGGACCCGCACGATGCATGTCTGCATGTCGTCGTCGTCGGACCCGCACGATGCGTGTCTGCATGTCGTCGTCGTCGTCGGACCCCGCACGACGCATGGCTGCATGGCGTCGTCGTCGGACCCGCAGAAGTTTCAACTCACAACTCAGAAATTACTCCTTTTCCAAAAACCTACTTGAACGCTTAAATGTCCGTCTTCTGCCAATCTCCTATTCTGGTCTGCAATGCAATGCACACTCCGCAGAGGCTTCCACCGGTCCCACTCTCCTCACGCGCTTCCGCCGGTCCAACTCGCCCCCCTCCCGCTCCCCCGCGTTCTTCCCCCTCGCCCGTAAATAAACGAACAACAACAAATCGCCGACTAAGGCTCACGAGCCAATACCACAAAAAAAAATAAAAAATAAAAAATGAAACGAAGAAACAACAAACAGAAAAAAAAAGAAAAAAAGAAAAGCTGACGAACAAAGCCAACCACGAAAGTCAGCCGACTGCTACCCGGAGTGATCCTCGGAGGGCCCGGACTCTGGGGGAGGGTGCGTAAGAAGGGGAAGAAAAAGTGGCATAGAGGAGAGAGGGAACAGAGGCAACACCGATCGCTACCAATTCAGCCTCCTGATGAGTCGGTGCAACTCCGACGAAACAGTTTGTCACAGCCCCTCGTTTGTTGTCCTCTTCTCTCTCTCTGCCTACGGTTTTACCGGGCAGTTCTGTTTGTGACGATATATATATAATATATAATATATATGATATATATATAATGCTAATATCCAATTCCATCTAATCAGTTGATTACCAATCAAGAGAAATAACTGAGCCGACGTCACTACAGCTGTTGTTGCAATGGGAACCCTCTTCCAACTGCAACGAAGTAACAAACGGAAAATTCCGCCAGCGAGCAGGAAAAGAGCCATCCATCCTGTTGGAGAAGGGAGCAAAGCGTACACCTGTGTGTTTGCGCCCTCAACACACCCCTCCCCCTCCCCCCCCCCCCCCCCCCCCCCCCCCCCCCCCCCCCCAGCAGGAGAGATGAACACAACGACAAAGCTCAACGAGCCATTACTAGTCTTGCGTTCCACATGCAGCATCACCTATCATGCTAGAACTTCGCCCTAGCTTCCTGCAGCCAATCCCGTAGCCGATCAAACACCATACATATATATATACATATATATATACATATATATATTCCTGCTTTCAATCCCGTAGCATCAAACAGGAGCTGCCGACATCTCCTACTCCGGGTTGCTTTGCTCGTCCTCAAAGCGTGCTGTCAGAAGCCAACGAGTTGTGCATACCGCAACGGCAGTGCCGCTACCAGCTCGCCTCACGTTTCTGACTCCTCTCTCCTCCTCTCTTCGTCCTTCGATGCAGCGTGGCTCAACCATCTCGATCGAGCGCGTGAGAGCGCGCTTGATTGCAGTCGCTAATACGCACCACAGCCTCGGCGTCGTCGTCTTATTTTTTTGAAGCAGTAGCTATGGCGGCAGGGGAAGAAGAAACGACAAGTTCGTTGACAATGCGAAATGCAAAATTACGCTAATGCACTGTGACAGAGTTGAGTAGCAAGCTCGTCTTTCCTGCCAAATGCTTGTCCGTACCGAAAAGAACGTTGTCCTCTGTCTGGAGAAAAAGGATAAGATTAAGATTACGTTCATCTAGGAGAGAGTTGCATTTCGCGGGAAAATAAAAAAAACAAACAGCAATTACTATGCCGATCAGCAATTGGCTGCAGCCTTCGTTGATGCGCGTTTTTGCGGAGCAAAAGAGCTGGAGCCGAGCGAGCCGTAGACACGTGGCGCGCAACAGAGCCTCTTGAGACAACGTAGCCGCGGGAACATGCAGTTGGCTGCAGTCTACCGATCGAGTGGAGTGAACAGAGTCATAATACAAGTGACAGGACAGGAACACAGAGCTGCTGCCCGACAACAGAGCCTGAGATACCTTGCAGGTCGCCACGTGGCAGAGATTGAGTAGCCCTGTTGAAGTTGGCCGGGTATTTTATGCCTACAGGGAGAGAGGAGGGAGAAGAAGAAGAGAGAGAGATAGAGAGAGGCGGTGCCTGTGTGTGCAGCTGAGCAAGCGGAAGTAACGACAGATAAAAAGAGGCCTTTGGGTGTGTTGAGGGTATACGTGTACGCGAGTGACAGGTCACTACGTTCAGCATTGCCTGTTCTGGACGAGATATGGCGTAAGGCGACAGCCTGCGTGACTGCAAGCCTGCCTGCCTGCCTGCCTGCCTGCCTGCCTGCATGTCGGTAGCCATAACTTGGAGCTAATGACATCGAGGAAATGAGCAAAGAGAGGAAGGAGAAGCGGATTACGGGATACAATAACAAGAAAGAAGAAAGAAAGAGCAGTCAAGGAAGCAGCTTCGCTCGCACCCCCTCCTCATCATTCTCTCCCTCCACTCCACTTCCTCCTCCTGCTCCTCACACATCTTCTTCACTCGCTGCTCTTATTAGGTCTTGCTGCAACCACCATAGCCGTGACCTAGGACCCGCTGCTCGTATTCCATCTTACCATCCCCCATAGCCATCCCATTTCCCGTTCTCTTCTTCTTCTTCTTCTTCTTCTTCTTCTGACGAATACTCTGCAGTCAATCGACCGCCATCGCCAGACCTTAACCACCGCCGGTCATGCGCCACATGGCAACCTGATTCGCTTCTTCTGGCGAAGACGGCGGCGCGTTGTAACACAACAGCTCCAGGATGCGCCTTGCCGTGTACGGGACCATCACGGTGTCGATGGTATGGACAGTGGCATTGACAGCGATCTTCACGTCGGGGCCAGTCACAGTCGCCTGGCCATCAAGAACCAGTCCTCCGGCCGCCGCGTGGGTAAGCGGGATGGGCAAGCCCAAAAAGGATTGCACCGAGCTCATCGTCATCAACTGCGCATTGACGAAGTTGCCCGTCGCCACGTGGAAACGAACAATCAAGGGGAGCAGGTCGTCCATCCCAGGTCTCTTCAGCATGCACTCCGTGTACACTGCACCCAGAGCGTCGAAAGCCCCATTCACCGGCGCAAAGAGGGTGACGCCGCTGTTCACCAAGCCCTTCACCATATCGATGCTCCGCGACATGTTCAGAGCCTCGTAGAACCGTTGAAACTCAGGCTCTGCTTGAAGCTCGGCCATCAATTGCTCTGCGAAAGGATTGGGCGGCGGCGGCGGCGCGTAGTAGTAATAACTAGCTGAAGCTGGAGGGGGAGGAGGAGGATAATAGTAGTAGGGAGGAGGGGTCGTGGACGCTGCGGCGCCGGGATACGGATACTGTGCAGCGACGAGACGACCGCTCACGGCAGTCCAGACTGCCAAGCAGAAGAGCAAGAATGACGAGAGAGCGAGTCGCGTAGAGTCCGCCGGCCGCGCCATTGCTGCTGCTGCTGCTGCTGCTGCTTCCTCCAAGATCGCCCCTTTTGCCCTTTCTTTCTATGTTTGTTCTTTACCCCTTGTAGCTCGCAACGAAACACTCGTCTGTCTACGACCAAAAGAAAAAAAGAGAAAAAAAAAAGAAAAAAAGATTATGTATGCCCTCCGACTGCAGGTCGGACTTATGAACTTGTGAAGGAAGGGGGAACGACGACAAGAACAAAGCGATCCGACAAGAAGAAGAAGAAGAAGAAGAAGAAGAGCGGTCCGAGCAGTGGGATCCAAAGGAGGAGACGTGGTAGACAGCTGCTAGCTACGCGGCTATGGCAGCTTTGCAAGCTTCGCTTCTCTTGTCGGGCTTCTCCCTCCTCTTTTTCCCCCTCCCTTTTCGACAACTCCCACGTGAAAGTCGGACTACTGGTAGCTTGTCAATGCAGACGCATCACAATTTCCGTGGCCGCCCATGAACTCGACGCCCTTTTCTCTCTCGCGCTGCTTTCGGAAGCAGAACGTCAGAAGCAACTCGGCTAGGTGGTGGCTATGGTAGGTAAGAGAGAAGCAGGCGGCAGAGATGGAGAACGACGACAAAGGAGTGGGCAGAAACGGACACCAGGTAACTGATCACCTACTGGGGCTCCCGTGCAGCCCCTCGTCATCGTCACGTTACTCGGCCGGCCGCCTACGCGTCCTGCCCTGCCGCTCGGTCCTCTCCCTCCCTCCCCTCCTAGATCCTACTGCTACAAATACTACTTCTATTGGGCATGTGTGTGTGTGTGTGTGTGTGTG